TCTGCGGTGACGAAAGTTACTGGTCGGTTACCCGGTCCCAAAGTCGGCCACGGGTGCCAGGCAAACACGGTGTGAAACAAGCGCAGAGACGTGTTTCGCACCATGCTAGCGTAATCCTCTCGGTCTGTACTCCAGAGTCGGTTGGCCGGAGTAATTTTCTTCGGTAGCAGAGCGTGGTTCACGATATGCTATGTTAGCAGGCCGGGGCGTCTGTTGTCTCCGGTCAAAGTAGATGTGGTTGTCGATCTGTTCATGCCATGCTGGGGAACTGAGGTCGGTTGCCCAGTTCGTTCCAGGGGATTCCTCGGGGGACGTACCGGTACGGTGAAAGAACCGGAACACCCAGGTCTTGACCACGCGTTTCCGGGTCTGACCGAAGAATCCGGCCAACTTATGTGGTTGGCTCTTCTGGCTTATTCGTGGTTCACATCTGCTGTTAGGATCTGTAAGAAAATGTAAAAAAAAAATTTCCGTTCCATGTTTCCACGTCATTTCTTGACGGTGCTGTTTCTCAGCTGGGCAGGATCTCTGCCAGGTCGATTCTCGACTCTGCCGTTTCTCGGCTTAGTGTCCCTTCCTTGCTGTTGAAGTGGGGGACTCGGGTTCGCATGTGGGAACCTGTTATCCCAAGGGGACTGAGATCGGCGGGTCTCCACCGAAGTAGTCCTCGTCATCTTCGTCGTCAGGTTTCGGTGGTCGACCAAGGCGCCGGAAGACTTCAGGTTTGCACGTTGCCTGCCCACTCTGTTGGGGAGTATCTTCCTGGCCGGGATGTTCCGCTCGCGCCTTCTTGGCTTTCTGGACCTTCCTACGGAGTTTCTGCGCGTTAGGTACTGCGCCGGGTGCCAAATCGTCCGACATCCCTTCTCCGTACGGTCTCGAGGTGAATCCGCTAGGTAGTGCCTTTTCTTCTCGGTACCATTTTACGAATTCAGCCGCATCATCATCAGGGTCTTTAAAGTCCTTTCGAAAGGCGTACCTGGACGCGTGCCGTTCCTGTATGTAAAGGAGGTCGCGTAACCAAACTGCCAAGATGATGCTTCGCATGGGTGAGCCAAGTTGTGCGACGACTGTGTCGAGTTCTGGTGGTATATGGCCGGTTCGGCGTGCTCCCCACAGGGTGTAATGGCAAAAGTAGTTGCCCAACCTTGCTGCGAAGATATACCGTAAAATGGTTGCGTTATGGTCCTCCGGTCCTGGTTCTTCTTCCGGCAGGTACTGCAGTAGGTCCAGGGCCGCTCGAGCTGCTGCGATGACAAATGCCGGGTGGGCGTCGGTGATGACAAACTGAGCCACGCTCTCCAGTTGATCGCGCGAGTACTCCTGAGGTCCGAGTTGACTTAGACTCGTCCTCTCCGGTGTGGACAGAGGTATGTCCAACAGTGCCGGGTCAGTCACCGCTGGCAAGGCGTTTGCTCGATTGATTGGGTGGTCGACATTAGGATGGTCGTTCATGTTGAACTCACCCATCCAATTGTTCAGTTGGAATCGGGTCTGAAATCCAGATCGGATGAGGAACTGACGCAGGTTTTCTACCATCCGCCAAATGTTTGGTCGGTGTTGTTCCTCGTATCCCAAAGTATTCATGATGTAATTCGTCCGTTCGTTCGGATGTGGCATAACGACTTCTACTCCCTGTCGTCGGGCGTTGTCGTAGCGAGGGTCGTCCTGGCTTGGCACTTGCACTGTTGGCATCGGAGCCATCTGATTTGCCACTTCAACATCCATTCCCTCAGGTTGATCTGCCGGTTCCGCCATGTGGGCTTCCGGTTCCTGTTGTTGTTCAGGTGGGACAAAGTTCCGTTTCGACTTGCTAGTTGAGTCGACAACCAGTCCCATACTTGTCTTCTCCGGACTTGACCGTTTTCCAGGTGAAGGTCTAGTCGCTTCACTATTGCCCTGTCCGGCAGAGGCTCGTCGTTCCTCGATTCTATGTCGAGCATCGTGTCCGAGCCTATGGCGAAGGTCATGTCCGGCCAGTGGTTTGGCAGGTCGGCGCTGCTGTTGAGTCGTCGACGGGGCAACTGGTTGTGCCGAAGGTCCAGGTTGAAGAATCTGCTGGGGAACTGAAGGCTGGGTTTGCGTAACCACTGGAACGACCTTCTGTGGGATCGTTGCCATCTGTTCCTCCGTTGCGGGGTAAAGGGTGACCACCTTCATGGTTCCGTCGTCCTGTCGCATCATCATTTGGATTGACGCGGTTTGTAGAGGTCGGTGGATGTCTCCGACTATTACTTCTCGAACGTCGTGAATCACCTGTTCCGTGTCTGTGCGGCCTTCTGTGGGCTGCTGTAACCGAACAGTGATTTCCGGTTCATGCTTCGTTGGTGGTGGATGGACCTTCATTGTGGCAATTCTTTCGTTGACTGCCTTAAGTTTCGCACGGTCCTCATCCTGGCGCCTCAGGTCCTGTTGCTGACGGTATTCCAGAAGTTGGTTAGTTAGTACCGGTGGTGCCGTGTGAGTCCATCCAGGGTCGGAAGCGCGGTTGCGTTGAATTTCCGACAAGTGATCCTGTTCGTAGGCCCGTAACTGGTTAATCAGGCGTTCGCTGCGAGCCAAGCGTCGGTATGCGCTAATGTTTCCAGCGACGACGTTTATGTACAAAGCCGCTGCTTGCGTCGCGTCACGGCGTCCGACCTGTGGGGTATGTTCGTCCGAAAAGAAAATTATGCAGTCCGCGCATGGGAGTCTGTTGCCCTGCGGAGTTGAGTTTTCTCTGCAATGTCGGCAGTCCGTCGTGTACGCCTCCGTTCGCGGCTGTTAAAAGAAAAATTAAACGATCCGTTTCTCGGATTCGTTATCCTATAAATGTTACACCCTATAATTACAACGGTCGGGCCAGGTCGGTTCTCGAGCTGGTCCAAGGCACTATGTGGTGCCTATTGAGGTAGGTCGGGACATTCTGTTGTGTCCAAGAGGAGGTCGGTAATCATAAGTACTTATGTGGCACTTATGAAGGAGGTCGGTTCTGCGACTCCTTCGACGTATTTCACGTCTCCTCATCCGTTCGTCGATTCCACCCGGTTCACCTGGAGAGAGTCGGTTGACTCCTTCTGTTGCTCCAAGGTCGGTGGATGCTTCGGTAAGTGTCCGTATCGATGTACCGATGGTTTAAGGGCTTCGTATCGTTCGCCTTCCCGAGTCTGGTTGATGCCAAATCTCTTCTGGAAGAATCCCTTGTTAAAGACGAAGTCCAGGTCGTCGCCCAGCATGTACTTTTCGCCTCCCTTAATTCTGTTCGTGGGCTTGTACTTCGGGTCGACTAGCTGAGGTTTTTCGGCTTCCCAGCCAAATTCAAACCGAGCGACCAGCTGGTGTAAGATTTCGCCGCGGGTCAATCCTACCGGGTGCCACGACATCTCCATACACGCTTCAATGGCATGTACCCAACCTTCGTAAGTGGTCGGCGCCGGGTCTCGTTTCTCCGGTGGGAACTCGTAATACTTGCGCTTGGTGCTGGTATATGTCCGTATGATTTTACTTTCGTTATACCCAAGGTTACAGTACCGGTATACGTTGCTCTGGCTTAGTTGCCTCCAACCTCCACCGATGTCGCCGATCTTGTGGTGCCTAAGGAGTTGAAATGCGTTCTTCGGTGTCGCAAACTTCGGTCCACAGGTCGCCAGGGCCTTTAAAGCCGCGAAGGTATACATCCATCCCGGGTGGTATTCCGAGACGCGTGGGGGTAAGGTGTGTGCACGTTTGGTGGCTACCTTCAGGTACTTGACGTTTACAGTTGGTAGTCTCGGAATCTCATTCGGTAAGAGTTCCTGAGTATCCTCGTTCCATTCCGTGAGGAGTTGATTCGGGTCGGAATCTGGTGTTAGCCGTACTTGTTGACGGTAATTCTGAGGAACGTAGACGTCACCACTATCTTCTTCCATCGGCTCATCGGCTTCGTTGCTGTTATCGGCCGGTGGGTCATTCTGACTGTCGGAAATCTCCGGTTCACTCTGCTGTTGGGGTGCCGAAGCCGGTGGAGGTTGATCATCGTCATCATCCTCATCTTCCGATCCCTTTGGTGTTTGATAGTCGTCGTCCTCATCTTCATCTTCTTCGTCCTCGTCTTCCTCTTCCGAGGGCGTCTTTTCCTTGGTCTTCGCCAACTTCTTTGTTGACTTGGCCGGTTTAGGTTGACTCTTCCGTGGAGTCTTACCTTCCGGAGCCGGGGAAATTTCCATCGGTGAGGCCGGTGGGAGAGATTGTGTATCTCTCGCGGCAAAGCGTCCTGTTGTGGTCCGACCTGCCTTAGTCGCACTTGCTCGTCCTGGTGCCGGGGCGGTGTTGACATACGTTGCCGGTTCGAACGGTGCCCGAGGTCGGTTAATTGGTAGTCGTTTCTGTGACGACATACCAGATGCTCGTGCAATGTTCAACATATCCGCCGCTTCTCCGGATGGTTGTTCATCCGTCTCGTTGTATTCTTCAACGGTCATTTCGGTACCTTCTGGAGAGCGCTGTCGATTAAAGAAGGACATCCGGAGTTTGAAGTCGCGTCGTTGCTGTTCCGGTATGAACCGAGGTACTGTGTACCGAAGTGGCAAGTCGCGTTCCGCGTTGATCGTTTGAAGAGAAAATTCCGCCACCATCGTTGCGATGACGGGTCGTAAGAGGTCCATTATTACATCGATGTTTCCCTGACTGTTCTCGTACATCACGTTGTATATACGGGCGATGTGCAGTAGGGAGGATCCGCGAGGGTTTCTGGCGTATCCGATGCATCTTACGATTCTCGTCGGGGGTCGTCTTGATTTCTGGCTGTGGCACTTTTGAGCTTCTGGATGATGTCGGGTGCGATCAGCTCGGCGATCCGTCCCCATTGTCGGTGGACCGCTACGGCTAATCCGAAGTCCAAAGCCCATGCCACTATTGCCATCATAAGTTTCTGTGTAAGCCAAGGTGAGGTCCGACCTACGATCCTTAAGTTGGTCGAGAGGTCGCGTACCATAACTGATAGACATCTTTGCCTTCTGTTCGGGCGTTCCTGACGCTTCGGACTATTTCGACGTGAAGTCGTACTGTATGGAATCCGACTGGTCGGTCGCCAGGTTGAGCGTCGGGTAGCCGCTGACGTACGTCATCAGGGGCTGGCCATTCGGAAGCGTCAGTGTCTTCTTCGTGACTCCATTCTTCGTTCCGATCGCCTTTAAATCCTTCGTACGGATCGGCTTCCCCATGGTCGGAGATTCCATCATCGGGTTCCGAAGGTTTTTCTGATCCGTCGTCCGAGTCTTTCTTGGACGTAGAAGCTTCGCTACTTTGACAGGTGGCTTAGGCGTCGGCTTAGACCTTTCGTGTGGTCGTTCGGCCTCTGTTTTAGTTGCCATCGTACCTGCTCTAGCGATCAGTTCTCGCATCCGTTGTTTGGCTGCGTCGTAATCGTACTCCTCCTTGGCGTTCCCCTTGTCCGGCTTATGTGGGCCAGCGTCGGAGGTGTCAAGGTCGTCTGAGGATTTATGTCGTTTGGCCGGGTTAGGTTTCGGCGTTTTGACTGATGTATCCGATTTGGGTTTGGTCGGTTCCTTTGGAGGTTCCTTGGTTGCCTCCTTTTCGGCTTCCTTTCTGGCCTCTTTCTTGGCCTTCTTCTTTTCCCTCCGTGATAACTTAGCCGAGTTAGCCGAGTTAATCACTTTCGAGTCCAGTAACGGTTCGTCCTGGATTTGCACGGAAGGTTCCCTTACTGGTTGGGGATTCTTCATCTTGACGACCAGTTGACGCGTTGTCGTGGAGGTCGTTTTCGGGTCCTGTGCGAAGAGTTTCTGCCGAGTCGTAGCAGCCTGTTGTTGTGCCGCAGGTCGGGTCTTCTCCGCTCGGAATCGTTCTCCCATTCGTTTCATGACCTCAGCCATCCTCTGCGTAAGGCGTTCATGTTCCTTACGAACTGCGTCGGTGTTTCCAACGAGGCTAGCGCGACGTGACTTAAGTGAGTTCCAGAGTTCTTTGTCCTCTGGAAATGCGATGTCAACGCTCACGTCCTGTTCCGACCTAGTCAGGTCCTGAACATGCTTCAAGGCCGGGTCATCGTGAAATTCGCGCGAGAAGTCTTCAGCCGGTTGCTGCTTCTTCTTGCTTCTCTTGCCCGGAGCTGTTGCCGGTTCGTTCGTTCGAGATTCATCAATAACCAACTTGGCTGGTTCCGAGGTCGATTCATTTTGTGATTCAAGTCCGACCTGCTTCGGAGACGTTGTGTCCATCTCCTCCGGGGTCTGCTTTGGTTTAGTTGGAGTATTCCGGGGCGTAAACCTTCGTGGCTATTCCTTCGGAGGTTGACTCGGCATCGTTGCCGGTTGAGACGCTGCCCGGTTCGGTGAGATCTGTTTCACCGGGGATCTACTCCGTCTCGGCGTTGTTTCAGCCGGTCGAAATCCATATGACGACCCGGAACTTGTTTGTGCGTCCATGAGCAGAGTCTCTTGCCACGTTAAGTCGTCGTCATAGGTTGGGTCATCTTCGATCTGAGCACCCTTTTTGTAGCTGTGGTCAGATTCGTCGCTGCTATCCGACATGACCCATCGAATTTTCTCGGTGACTTGTTGACCGGGTTGGGGGGCCAATTCCAAAGTGTAAGCGGCAGGGTTGATGCGGGGGTGCCGAAGTAGTTGGACTGGCTTGATAATGGCCGCATCCAACGGAAGCTGTCGTAATGCCTGTCTTCCGCACCTTATAAACATCGGTCGGCGTAAAGCCTTATCCCTGTCCTGGATTAGCGCGTATATCCGTTGGCCGAGTGCTTGTTGCTCGTCAATGGATAGCTTTCCTAGCCTCAGTCCCTCTGTTAGGTGGGCTTCATTCAGTATCCGTTCCAGGTCGTAATTCTTGGCCTGTCGGATTAACTTCTTATGGACTCCGGACGTGAACACTGACTTTGTTGCCGGGGTCGGTTTCTGTGACTGACCCGACTGTGTTCCATCCGTTGGAGTTGCCTTCAGGAATTCCAACAGTTGTTCCTTCGTTCGGACTGGTGGAGGTGAAAAGAGACGTCTACGCGGACCTTTGTCGTCCGTGTCGTCCATCCCTTTTGTGGGCTCTTTCTGTGGTAGCCCGGGCAAAGTTCCTGGTCGAGCAGGTCGGACAATCGGCTTCGGTTGGCCGTCCTGCGGTGTTACTAGGGTTTCATTAGTGTCCATGTCCACCTGCTCGAATGCTCCGACCTCGAGTTCGTTCCCGAGTGGCGGTACTTCATCCATGGGTTCATTTTGTTGAACCTCCAATGGTTTGACAGGTTGAACCGGCGGCTTAAGTTGCGCCTTAAGCTTCTTCGCGGCAGTTGATTTTTCCATCTTGCGTTCCGCTTCTTGTTGCTTCCGTTTATAGAAGTCTTCCGCTAAGCTGTCAATTTTGACTTTGAGAATCCGTAGCCGATCCTGGTTCTTGACGGTCCGTTGTGTCTCAGGTCGGAGAATGAACCGGACCTCCTTGGCATTGTTCTCCAAGTGGCCCAAGTTGATGTCGATCTGACAGTACTGCGGAGTCTGCGGGTCGGTTGAGTCCCGTAATTGGTAAAGTTCACCAATCAGTTTGTCCGCGGTCTGCAGAGTTAACTGGATTTCCTTATCCGGTATGGATTGTGGAACCGCGAAAGGGTCTTGGTAAGCCGCTGTGCCTGCGCGTGGTGGCGGGATGGAGGCGTCAGGCGGGTTACGTGTCGACTGGATTTATGTGATCCGAGATCGACGGTCCATTTCCTTACGTTCTTGGTCACGGTCCCGTTCTTCTATGTAGTCTCGGACTCGCGTCTCCAACCATGAAAAGGTCCTAATTATATGGCCTCGTATGCCGGGAGTCTTCGGCGCGTCTGGATGATGGAGTTGGCGGAGGAACTTCACGTTGGTTCCCCAAGCCAAAATATCGCGGTCCAAGTCTTGCGCTAACCGGCTGGTAGAATCACAAAAGATTCGACGGGCCCTCATTTCTGTGATGAGTTCTACCGTCTGATTCACCAGGTTAACCAAGTGGGCTGGTGCACTTGTTGGCATCGTCCCTGGGTCCGGTATTGCTGACATTATTCGGGCTTCAGTAACCGGGGACATAGGTCGGTCGCTAGTGTCCACTGGCTTTGGCTGAGCCGTTCCTACTGTTGAGGTCGGTGGGGCCGGTCCAACTGTTGAGGTCGGCTGAGTCGAGCTAGTCGAGGTCGGTGCTGACTGCTGACTTTGAAGCGCGGAGATTTTCGCTGTTAGTTCGCGGACTCGTTGTTGAGAAGACTTCAGTCGGTCTTCGGCCGTCTTCTTGTCGGCTGCTTGGGCTGGATCATTGTCATCCATGCCCGCGAGTCGTACCGTCAGGTTGACGACGATTTCTTCCGCGTAGCTGAGGGCGCTTCGTAACGTAGCTAAATTCTGTGCTGGTGGCTTCGGTTGAGCCGGTCCTCCTGTTGAGGTCGGTTTCTGATTCGACGCTATCCGAGCCATTGTTCTCCGGTGGCTCTCGGTGCGTAACTTGTCAGTTTTGTTGCAAAGGTCAGAGACGCGTATCTGGGAAATCCTTAGCTGGCTTTCCAGCGCTCTCTTCACATTGGCCATGGTTGGGTCGTGACCTTCCATCTTATTAATCTGAACCTGGAGGTTGACCGCAATCTGTTCTGCTCTGGCGAAGTCTGTTTTTAACTTCTTCATTTCGTCCTGGGCCAGTTCTGACTGTGACTTCGTGGGAGCCGGCCCTGTTCGTTGGGTCGGTGGGAGGTGAACCGTCCGTGGATTCGCCTCCAATATCCTCCACAAGTCATCAACTCGCCTGGAGCAGATGGTGTGCTGATGTTCCAGCGCCACTCTCAGACGATCTTCCGATCTATCCGCTGGGTTGAGATCGCGAAGCTGCTTGGCTAGGTTCTCCAGCACATCTACTGCTTCTCGGTACTGATTTTCGACCTCGTCCAGGTTGACCTCTTGTTGGTCTCTGGCGTCTTCAGCGAATTCAAGTCTATCAGCAGGTCCCGGTGATGGGGCTGGAGATGGCTCCGCTTCAGGTGGCGTCGCCTCTCTGGCTGGTGCTTGTGTTGGCACCGGCTGATATCTTTTAACATGGTCGATTATTGACCGAAGGGCTTCCTCCAACCTTTCCCTGGGTTGGCCGCATGTTGGAACACCCCATTCGCTAAGTGTTTCAGCGAAGTCCAGCTCGATCCGCAAGTTTCGGTCCGTTCGTTCGAGGTCAGTCACTTTCGTCGGTGACATCGGTCGATTCAGCTGGTAATTGTAAATTTCGGCTAAGTCCCGACCAGCATGGTTGATTGTTTCAACGTGTTTCAAGACGTCGGGTATCGGCGTCGTCCGTACCAACGTCATCACTGCTGTTGTGGTCGGTGCTGGCCGTTGTGGAGGTAATGGTGTGGCAATCCGAGTACACGACGGTTCCGAGTCGAGGATTTCTGTGATCCTCTCAACTACCGACCTAAGTTGTCGGCTCTCGGTGTCGTTCGGATCGACCTTGTCGAAGAGTTCTTGGGCTTGCTTTAAGTAAGCAGCCAAGGTGTCGATCTTCTGACGTGCCGTTCTAATGGCATCTGGGTCCGTGGGCGTTAAATGTACGTAGGCCCTTTGAAGGTTGTCGGCCCGACATTGTTGTCTGCTGTTAAGGAGAGGAATACGGCGCGTTAGAATTCTACCAACTCCCGTAAATTCAACTGAAGATGTTCCGGTCAACTGAAGAGGTTCCATTTCGACACCAAAGGTCGGCCTATACCTAGCTACTGTTAAGCTACCTATGACTATAACTTATTCTAAGTTACGCCTATGGCCCTATGACTGAGTCTGTTCTGTTGTGACTGCTTGTTTAGGTGTCTTTGATTTTGCTATTTTGACTGGTTTCTCCGAGTCCGCCCGTCCTTCCGAAATTCTATCGAGGATTTCCTTATGGGCTTCGTCTTCAGCGACTTCAGTTTCCTCCAGCACTTGTTGTGCTGTCAGCTTCGGTTTCTTAACAGTTCCGATTTTCTGTTTCGGCTTGGGCGGTTCGACCTCCTGGTCGGATACTTCGACTTCCGTGGTCGGTGCCGCCGGATCGGTTGGTTTAACCGTTCTCTTCTTGTAAGTCCGTTTTGACTTAGCCGGTGCGACCCCCTGGTCGGCTACTTCGACTTCTGTGGTCGGTGCCGCCGGGTCGGTCGTCTTATCCGACTTCTTCTTCCTCGTCGATTTAGTTACCGACTTCGTGGGTTCTTCCAGAGGTTGATTGGATGGCTGAACCAGTGTTCCGGACTTGTTGTCCGACTCTTTTGGTTTCTCCAAGGTCGGTTTGGGCTCATCTGGTATCACGTTCTGCTTCTGCAGTTCCTGCAGGGCTGGTGTCTCGAAGTCCATCGGCGGTTTCTTCCGAGGTCGACCTCGACCTCTTTTCTTAACCGTTACTTCAGGTTGGTCGGTTAAGTCCGTTTTCTCCGATTGCTCGACGGTTACTTCGGGCTTTTTACTCGACTTACTGGTTGCCTTCCCTTCTGTGGGGTCGGTTCCCAGGTCGTTATCCGGTTTCTTTTGACCAGATGACCGAGTTACTGGTCGACGTGCGTCGGCTGGGAAGTGTTTTACTCGGTCGACGGCAACGGTGTCTTCACGTCCGTCTTCACTTCGGAGTAGCAGATTGTTCGGGCCAACATGACTGATGACCGTCCACTCTCCGTCATATCGTTCCATCCTGGCGGGGTCCTTAGTTGGAAATTCCACCGTTACCTTATCCCGTGGTTTGAAGGTTTGTGACGACTTCTTCTTATTGTAAATTTCGGCACTCCGTTCGAAGGCTTCATCGATGTTGATGCGCGCAATTTCATGAGCCCGTTGAAGTCGTTCTTTAATCCGCCTGATGTAATGTTCTTTGTCCGTATACTGCTCCGGTGCGTTCGTTCCGGCTACCAAGTCCTGGGGCATGGTCATTTCTCGACCATACAGCATGTGATACGGTGAATGTTTCGTCGAGGCATGGACTGCTCTGTTCATCCCGCAGACGACGTATGGTAAGGCTCTGTGCCAACGGTGTCCGTCCTTCATGTTGCAGAACTTTCGTATTCCGTCCCATATCGTCTGCATTTGCCGTTCGACTTGTCCTTGACCTTCTGGGTGATAGGCCGTTCCAAGCGTATGTTGGATGCCGAAGATTCTTGCGACCTTAGCGAATGTCTTTGCCGTGAAGTGTGTTCCTCGGTCCGAGTGAATGAAGGTCGGCATTCCATACTTCAGCAGGACATCTTCCACGAAGAACTTTT